GAAAGTCTTCGAGCTTCTGCGTCAGATATCACAAAACGCTAAAAGAGATTTTTTATAGTCAAAGAAGAAGTTTTGCTAGCCTAGCGTGAGCAGTCGCAGGTGTTTCACTGATGACTGTGGGAACGTGAAATCGGAAATTGACTCGTAAACCATACTTAGCCAAAAGCAAAATGTGTACTTTGATATACCAGAATTGAAAGGATGTGTTCTTATCGTGCAGACATTTTCTGCTCCTTAGTTATGTAGCTTATGTACATTTTGGTCTGGCTGACAAAATTAGCAGATGCTATCAGGACAGGCTGTGCGAGACGTTTGACCTTAAATTTTGGAGCACCTTCATATGCCTATTGACTCTTCAGTCAAAAATCATATTCAATTGCATGAAAAATATGACTAATTGTCATTATTTTTGTATCTGAAATATAGAAAGACCTAGAATGCTTTTGAGTTACATTTCCTAGTTCGCAGACTCCCAATGTGTCTTCAGTCAAAATTAGAAGTAGGTTCATTCATAAGTAACAATGAGTGCAAAATGCGGCCAAATCACACAATAAGTGAAATCAAAATGGAGGTATGTCAATCTAAAACTCTTCATTGTATGGGTTATGAGGATGTTCGCGATTGCTTGCGCTAAGATTTACAATTCGCCATCCGCGGTCGAGACCTTCCATCTCCTTCATTTCTTCCTCTGATAGTTTGAAGTCGAAAAGTGCCACATTTTCCTTGATGCGGGCTAGAAACATAGTCATTATTCCTGCATAAGTTCCGAAAAAGTCAATTATTTATGAGTGGCTTACATTCTGAGACGGACTTCGGAATAACAATAATATCCAACTGTATTGCCCATCGGAGTGCAACTTGTGCGGGTGTCTAATGATATTGATTAGAAAATTTGATCCTCTAGATGGAAACTTGCAAATCTGCGATTAGCGAAGAATGGACTTACTTTGCCATGTCCTTCGGCAATTTTCTTCACCACAGGATCAGTCAGCACATTTGGATCTCCATCTTTCCGGAAGAAAGCTGATCCGGGATTACCAAGTGAGCTGAAATAATGAAAATGGACTTTCGTGTAGAAATCAGTGTTGAAAATGAAGATGTCGGCAACTTGAATAAGACCATTTCATTATGCTTTCGTGCCTTTTTCAGAAACTGTACAGCCTCTGTCAAACATGTAGCACCTTTGCCAACGGCGCGATCGCGTTATAAGCATCGCTTCGCGCTATGTTAGCGCGCTTAGGTCTTGGCATCCGAATTGTTTTATCTGTTGAAGGCAAGGTCACGAAAGATCCCGCGTGGCGGTTGCGTAGTCCGCAAGAGAGAATATTATTGGCACAGACTGTAAAAGCGTAAAATCACCTGTAAGCGGTTACTGCTATATCATGCTCTTTGCAAAAAGCACGTAATTTTTTCTGTTGGAAGTATGGATGCAATTCTACCTGAACAAA